AGAACCAAGAATGAAAAGCCAAATGTAACTCTGGTTCCACAGTGAAAACGCTGCTGTAAGGAGTAAGAAACCCAAGAGATCTGCAGAACTCACTGGGTCCCTCTCCTGTTGGGAACCAAGTAAGGGACCCAGACACTACGGAAAACACACTGATCAGAGTCTCCTTGAAGATCTTCTGACCCTTGTTTTAAAGGGATCTAAAGTACTATAAAATATAGAGTAAAAACCTTAATTTCCAGATAGACATAAAAAGAAAACAATGAGGCAAGAGGATTGCTGCGAATTTAAAGCCAGCCTGGGCTACATAGCAAGACCCTGTCTCAAAAAACCAAGAAGAAAGAAAGAAAGAAAGAAAGAAAGAAAGAAAGAAAGAAAGAAAGAAAGAGAGAAAGAGAGAGAGAGAAAGAAAAAAGAAAAACAAAATAAGTATATAAAAATTGCTTTGTTTTGCTGAAGTGAATAACCTTGTAAGTTTTTTTCAGACAGAAGCATGCTGGGAGGCTGGCTAGCTCTCCTAGCACTGCTGGTGGTCTCATGGATGCTGGCAGTTGGGATCTATCTAATGTGGAGACGTGGTAAGGAGTATAATATTTTAAAGATGTCCTAATAAGGAAATCACTGTGTGTATGTGCACACAAAGGATAGAACCCAGGGTCTCATGCTTGTTAGGAAGTGCTTTATCAGAGATATACCTCCAAGTCCACATTTTGAGCCTCTTAAAAGGAGATTCCTCTAGGGACAATCACACGTTGGCATTTCCCAGAATTAGGACAGCAGTTACTTGTGCCTTAACGTGCTGCTACAAAGCCTGGTATGGCAATAACTGCATCACATCTGCCAGCTTAAAGCAGGGGGAGGTCCTGCGGATCTGGGGCTACCTGTCATCTGTTTTATTTTTACTGTGGAGGGTTCTACAGGTATGAAACAGGCAAATGATGGCTAATAACATTTCACCTGTGATACTCTATTAGTTCTTATTTTTTAAAAGTAGTTCTAAGACATTAGAACAATATCCACTTAAATTCATATAGTCGGAAAGGTCACTGCCAACTCTACAACACTGGGTATCTGAACAGAAATCAGGGTACTACACCAAGCTTGGTGGTGCAGCCCTGAGCCCAGTCCTGATGTAGTGAGGTGGTGAGGCCCTGTCTCAAAAAATTAGAAGCTCTAGGCCTGAGTATGAAGCTCAGGATAAAGCCGGGCATGGTGGCACATGCCTGTAATCCCAGCACTGGGGAGGCTGAAGCAGGAGGATTGTTGCAAGTTCAAGGCCAGCCTGGGCTACAAAGTGAGCTCAAGGCCAGCCTTAAGTGCACAGTGAGACCCTGTCTCACACACACACAAAAAAGCTCAGGGTGAAGGCCCTGGGTTCAATTCCCCGCCCCCACCAATAAATAAAGAGAGAAAGACAAAAAAATCAGAGTTTATAGGCAGCTAGTGGCAGATCCATTAAAGACTCTGCCTTTCCTCCAAATAGAAGAGGAAATAGAGCTGCACCCAAAGTATTGCATGTGATGTAGACACAAGGATAACTCTACGTTATTTCTAAGCCAAGAAACCATGTGACCCTTCTGCTTCAGGAATAGTTATATTTAGGGGATGTTGTTTGAACCACGTTAGTTTCATACACTGTTCCTGTTTTATAATACAGTGTAAGGCAGAATTACAGTTAAGTTCCAGGGGTTTAACTTTATGGAACTGTAAAGAAACTCTACCACCTGCAGGTAGAAGACGGTATAAACAAGCACGAAGATGACCAAACCCAAAGGTGAAGTGCACAGGTCAGATAGCCTCTACATAGCACTAAAAGTAAAGTTCCAACTACCCGCCTCAAAGTACCTTCAACCTAAGCAGTTTCTGTGACTTTATTTGAAAAGATAAAGCATGATTGAGAGGACTTAGTAACAGGGACTTAGGAAATGTATCTTTTAAAACTTGTTCGCTTTTTGTTTGCAGTGCTGGGGAGTGAACTCAGGATCTCATGTATTTTAGGCAAGTGCTCTACCACTGAGCTACACCCCAGCCCACTCAAACCTTTTTAAAGTTTAGGTATTGGTGTTCCAGGTGCCATGTCCAACAGGAACATCAGGGTTATCCTCCCTGTCTGGCAGTAAAAGGTCCCTGATGCACCTCTGCTGTTCTCTACTATAGATCATTTATCAATGCCCATTTGAGTTAGAGTGAATCTATATACGGGTAACAAATTCTTTTCTCACCCCCACAGAAAGGATCAAGAAAGTTTCCTTCCCTGCCACCACACTACTGCCCCTCATTAAGGTTCTTGTGGTCTTCCCACCTGAAGTGTGTTTCCAACACACCGTCTGTTACTTCACTGACTTTCTTCAAAACCACTGCAGAAGTGAGGTCATCCTTGAACAGTGGCAGAAAAAGAAAATAGCTGAGATGGGTCCTGTGCAGTGGCTTACCACGCAGAAGAAAGCAGCAGATAAAGTGATCTTCCTTCTTTCCAATGATGTCAGTACTGCGTGTGACGGGACCTGTGGCCAGACCGAGGGCAGCCCTGGGGAGAACTCTCAAGACCTGTTCCCCCTGGCCTTTAACCTTTTCTGCAGTGATCTAAGCAGCCAGACTCATCTGCACAAATACATAGTGGTCTACTTCAGAGGGGCGGATCCCAAGGACGACTACAGCGCTCTCCGCATCTGCCCCAAGTACTGCCTCATGAAGGAAGCCACTGCTCTCTGCGCTGAACTTCTCAGTGTCATGCAGCACAAGTCAGCGGGGAAACGGCCACGAGCAGGCCACAGCAGCTGCTCCCCCTTGTACCCCACCCAAGAGAAGGGGGAAGACTCAGAACCTTCTTACCCAACAATTCCTGGGGAGAAACCTTTGTGACAACTAAGTTTACCATATAGGCTGCCTATAGGCAAGACCGTAACTGAACACATATGCCTAAGGCTACTTATTAAAAAATGTTCTGCAGTAAAACTGTTACAAACAAGATGGGTGTGATGGACTATGCTGGTAATCCCAGCACTTGGGAGGCTGAGACAGGAGGATCACCATGAGTTCTACGCCAACCTGGACTACACAGTTCAAGACCAGCCTGGGTTACACAGCAAGACCCTATCTCAAACAAGAAAATAATTGTTACAAACATTACTAACTACAGGAACATTACTAAACAACTCAAACTAAATTTATAGTTACAACGTAAACCAATTTTATATCTAAAATTGAAGACTAATCATTCAGATAATGTAGCAACCAGCCAGATGTCCAGTCTTCAATAGTCTATGGCCTGACCAGGGATATAGCTCAGTGGCACAGTGCTTGCCTGGCAAGTGCAAGGTCCCGAGTTCAATTCCTGGTACGAAAAAAAAAAAATTGTCTATGCCTTGCGCTGTAGATTGTTTAGCGCTGTAACATTCTAAGTTCAATTAATGATGACTAAATTTCAGAACTTTTCACTATTTCACTTAGCTTCCTGGGAGAAAAACTCTTACTACACACGGAAGTATGTTTAAGATACTAAATGTGCGGAATAATTTGGCTATGGTACACCTGTAATTCCAGTGCTCTGGGGAGACCTAGGCAGGAGGATGCCAAGTTCCAGTCCAGCCTGTGCAATTTAAGAAGACCTGTCACAAAAATTAAAAACTAAAAAAGGGGGAGGGGATATAGCCTTCAGCAAAGGCCCTGGGTTGATTCTCTGGGGGCATGGGAGGTGGGCTAGGGAGTTACTAAGTTGGACCCATCTTGGTTGACCAGATGACCTGATCTGTGTGTAACCACTGTAGTTTGGTTATTTACATAGGATCTTCTTGCTCCAAGTCAGATTCATATCCTGACTTTTTTTGTACAAGTGACCTTTAAATGAAACCAAAGTACATTCCTACAAACCTGATGTCTACTTTTTGTTTGAAGTTACCTATTAGAAGTTAACATCATTGTTCTCACTTATTATATAATCATTCATGTCAAACATTCTTAAGTTGAAAGTTGGCTTTCTTGAAATAATAGTTCTTTTTATAAGTTAGTAATACTGATTTACTTAAATAAAAAACAAACTACCACACTGACAGAATGTAGAGATGTATGGTACTGATACAGGGGAAATACAACTCCCAGCTTACTAGGTGTCAGATGTGCTGAGTTCTTATCCCCTGAAATCAAAGAACAAATCCCAAAGAACAACAGGGACTGGGGATTTAGCTCAGTGGTACAACGCCTGCCTGGCAAGCGCCACATCATGAGTTTGTGAGTTTGATTCCCGGTGGGGGGGGGGGGCAGAACAAACAAACATTAAGAGTAGGAAAGGTTTACTGAGAGCGCGCTCCTAAGAGATGGGAGGGGTCCGAAAGTGGGTTGCCACCCAGGCATTTCTCTAAGAACGTTTTTATAGGGCAAAATCATGAGGTGGGTACAGAATCTTGAGGGGGATAACAAAGGTCAAACTATAATCAATAAGATTGCAAGGATAGCTGCTTAGCTAACATTGATCCAGTGGGGAAGCAGGGCATGTAGCGAGAGGATATGGTATCATTAACCTTGGCTTACCTATGACTTCTAAAACCCAATTTTGGGAAGGGATGGGCCCAGCACCCATCCAGGTATCTGAAGCATACCTGGGTTTAATGGACTGGGTGGTACCAGTTAGTATAATCAAGTTTCCATTCATTCTTTAGGAAAATATGTAAATCTGGCCCCTGTGATTTTCATCTCAAGGCCTTGCCTTCCTCAGATGTGCCTCTAGCCACAATTCCGATGTCTCCACCTTGCACCGACTTCCTTAAGAGCTAGTCCCTGTGTGACGGTGTATTTTTAAAATGAATTTTACTGGTAATTCTGATTTACATAATGATCACATTCATCATACGCAATTTGTACCTGTACGTATCTGATTTTTTTCTCATTTCCTTCCCCTCCCTTCAAACCCTCTTCCCCTTATTTACAAGAACTGTTTTTCCATTTTTTCCTCTACTTTTCTTTTTCCTTTGCCTTTCCTTCCCTTTCCCATCCCTCCTCCCTTGCTCCCCTTCCCATTCAACGTTTTCCTCCTACTCCCCAATATCTATCATCCATTTGGGTTCTCATTTACCTTTTTGGTTTCTCACACAAGAGAAACAATGTGATATTTAAACGTGTGTCCCGTTTATTTCTGACTGTATTTTTTATCTAACTTAGCTGCCCATAATGCAGTGGTACCTTGGTTCACAAACTTCTCTCTTTCCACTGTTCTGGTGGCAATCGAATTGCAAGCATGAAATCATGGGAAGAATTAAGTTTGTGAACCAAGGTACCACTCACTGTATTTTAAGTCTTTCAATTCTATCTTCCTAAAAGCATCTTTTTCTTACGTAGAGGTCACACACGCCAAACAACTGAAAATTATCCTTTCGGGGTCACGTCATTGCAGGTGTCTGTCCTACAAATAGAAGTCCAAAGGAAGCCTAAAGTGAGAAGCCACCACATCCAGCTTCGTAAGCAGATGCTTAGCAATGGCGGAGGCAGTAACGTGGCAAGGCTCACTTAGTTACTGTGATGGACTTCACTGTGCTTGTAAAAGTGCTGGTAATAAAGATGGATACGGCTTAGGTAAAAACTTGGACCACACATCAACTTCCTGTGAATCAAACATCTTTTTTTTCTACCTTTTTTTCTCTTCCTCACCAGTCCACTTCCCCCCAACTTTTTTGGCAGTACTCAGGATTGAACCCAGGTCCTTTGCAGTAAGCTACACACCCAGACCTTTTAATTTTTATTTTGAGACAGGGTCCCCCTAAGTTGCCCGGGTGACATTCAAACTTCTCAGCTTCCTGCTTCAGCCTCCCAAATCACTTCTATTTGGCTTTAGGAAGAAAACAAGATTTCCCTTCAGCTGTGTTGTTTTGGTCAAATAAGTTTTCTTTGCTTAAGCTACCATAGGGCGAGTTTGGTAACAAAAGCCAGCCAGAGTAGCCTTCAATCTTTGCCTCTGGAAATCTAAACCTAAATGGGTCCCAATCTTTTTTGTACTCCAGCAGGAAACTGCAAAGCAGAATCCAAGATAACCACGACACTTTTTACCCGGCTAGAATCCCAAGAGGACACACAAAGCCCCAATTCTATGTGTACACAACTCAAGACACCTGTAGCATCCTAGAGGAGAGGGAACACGCAGGGTCAGCCAGTTCTCACAAGTCACGCAGAGCCTCACGGCCAGCTCGGGTGCCTGCTGATGATGCTCAGAAGCCCACCGGGCTGCCCTGAGGCAAGACAGGCAAAGTATGACAGGTAAAAGGGAAACAGGCAATTTTTAAGCTTCAAATTGTTGTTTTAATAAAAACTGCAGCTTCATGACAAACCAGTCAAAAACTCCTAAAGTCCTTAAAAGACACAACTAAACTGAACCGTTCCCTTCTGCTCGCCCATCAGCCTTCTCCACCTTTGAACAAGCCGCCCCTTTCCATCTGTACAGTGGGCCTTTCCCTTAGGGGCTGGGGCCGCGTTAGCTGTAACGGACCATCATGCTTCCCCTGCAGACAGCGCTGTCCCCTTTCACCTGTAAACTCCATCTCCTTTTTGCAGATTATCAAGTTCTAGAATTTCTACCCGTAAATCCCCCATAAACACGTAAAGCTAGAGGCCGTAAGGGTGCCTCTCCCCCTCAGAGGGCACACCCTCTATTTCTTTATATACTTTTAAAATTCTGCCTAATAAATCTCTTTATGCCTCTAACTGATGTATCCTCAAAATTCTTCTGGGGGCTCGGGGTATCAGTGACAGCGCCTGCTTGGCAAGCACAAGGTCCTGAGTTTGATTCCCAGTATTAAAAAAAAACACAAAATTCTTCTGGGATGAAAATCAGCAAACCTACAACCTGCCCTGTGGGTGGGGTGAGTCCAGGGTCCCCATCTCTACTTTGGGGACCTCCTTGGACTCTGTCCAGGGATATTCACCACACGAGGTCATTCAACAGCAATGTCTGATATCACTAGAGTTAATAAACTTCTCAGGAGGCAGAAGGGCATGATGGATTGACAACTGGTGGTCAACTTGTAACACCCAGCTGAACTGAACCTGCCTGGTGCTGGGTGTGGGAGATGCGCCTGAGGACTGCTGCCAGCAGTGTAAGAGGCAGAACTGGAGAAGAGATGAAGCTGTTAGGGAAGCTGCATGGAGCTGTTGGTATTCCTGGAAGAGCTTGTCATGCTGGCTTTCCTGATGAACGCAGCTCTTCCCACTGCTGAAGGAGCTGGGACCTTGTTATTGCTGAGAATGGTACAGTTCACTTGGGGGAGCTCTGGAACTCACTTTGAGCATCACTTCCTGGCTCCTAAGGGGAAGATGGTGCACTGCACAGTCTCCTGGAAAAGACTGTCGCATTGGCTTTCCTGATGGGAACTCATCTATTCCTCAACATCGGAGCAGCTCAGGACCTCCCTGTTGCTGATGGTGGCAGTAGTACTTTCAGGGGAGCTCCGGTTCTTACTTTGAGCGTTGCTTCCTGCCTCCAGTTCAGCTCCCTCAGCCTAGGGCAGATTCCTCATTCCCCTTGCACAACTTTCTAGCTTCCACCACTGACCTTTGGGCCTTCCCAGCGCAGATCCGTGAAACAGGCCTGCATGAGACATTGTTATGGGCTCTGGGCCTCCAGTTGGACTCGTGGGAGGCACTGTTATGGGCTCTAGGTCTTCAGCTGGACTCATGCGGGACGTTATCGTGGGATCCAGGCCCTCAGCTGGATTCTTTGGTCTTTAGTGTGTGGACAGATGTCCTGCGCTCTCTTTGTATATGACTCTTTGGGTGACTATTATAAAATAATCTTATAAAATGTGTCCTGTATTGTTCCCCTTGCAAAACCCCAAATTACAACAAAGGGTTTACAACTGAAGTGTAAATTTGTATTTACTTTCAAATGTCCCAACTATGAAAATGATTATAATTTCAAATCAATGTTATATCCTCAATATGAAGTGGAAATTCTTTCCATGAAAATTAAGCATGTAATTCAATAAATTAAAACACACACATTCTGGCCAGGGATATAGCTCAGCACCGTAAGTGCCTGCCTGGCAAGCGCAAGGTCCTGAGTTCAATTCCCGGTACCAAAAAAAAAAAAAAAACCCAAAAAAACCCACATACATTCTTTAATCTTCTATATCAAGAGACTTGTTTTTGGTCTTCAATAGCCCGCTTCACCACACAAAAGCAGCTCGCTCTCGTAACATGCGGACCCCAAAGCGCTGCCATTCTCGCTGATAAATCCACAGCTCCTGTGTTGTATCCAAACATGCCAACACTGCCCCTCCTTTCCACGCAATCAGCCGGGGGTCCATGTCCTAGACAGGTGACAGAGTTATTTTGCACAAGCAGATACACTGTGTATTTCATCATTTACTTCAATTGAAGGGAATAACTGCTGAGTCAGTATCTAATAAACCAGGTTTTCCATTTGCATTAAAGATAGCAGGGCTCACAAACTCCTCTTTCATCCAAAAAGAAGCTTCATTCTTATTACTGAATATACTATTCTTTACTATTACTCCACAAATACGTGCTATATGCAGGAACATATGTAACAAAATCATCTTGGTGTGTGAGTGGAATACATACCCACTGGCTGGGCACAGTGCTGCATGTCTGTAATTCCAGCACTTAGGAGGCTGGGGCAGAAGGATCTCAAATTTGAGTCCCTCCTGGGCAACTTAGGGAGACCCTATCTCAAAATACAAATTAAAAGCTCTGAGGAAGTAGTTCAGTATGAAGGCCCTAGATTCAATCCCAAATACCTAAATAAATTAAAAAAAAAAAAAAAAACTCCACAATATTAAACATTTACATATATTAAAATAAGAACATTGCCAGGAATTACAGTGAGAGTTAATGAAATACATGATCTTTCACTAAGTTCTTGAGTTTATCTTTCAAAACAGTTCAAGGCAAAAAAGATCTCAGGTCCAGGGACCAATAGTAGCTCCTTCCTATGACTGGGAGATAAAAATGGAGCTGTTCTGGCTGTCGGGGCATGTCAGCCATCTTCTGACACACCTGGTCCTTCCACAAAGGAGAAGCTAGGCACAGCAGGGGCCAGAACCAGGAATCCAGTCCCCCAGATGGCGCTTCTGCCACATATGTGACCTGCTCAAAGTAATGTTTCCACTTCCCCAAGCCCTCAAGGACTTAATCAGACGAAGTTATGCTTCCCAGGATTTTTTCCACCCATATATTACAATCGGAAATAACCAAGGCTCATTTCATTTTCATATAGTCCAACCTGCACCGTGAAACAACATACCTTGGGCCTCGTGATAACATCTACGTTTTCAATAATTCGCCTAAATGAAGGGGGCATTTTGTTGAGAATTCTGTGCTGTAGAAATTCTTGTGCTTTATGGAACATCAAACCACCTCCTACCACCAGGATGGAACTGTACATCTTTTTTTTGGTATCATCAGATGCTGAAAAGGACAGAAATATTCCTTCCAATTAACCACACCACTCCAGGAAAGCCACCACAGCAGCCTCACAGGTCTCCCTCCACCCTCAACACTGCAGCAGGAGCCTCGCAGAATACAGGTGGGCCTTCTGCTGCCCCACCCTCCACAACGTACACCTCGCAAGATCAGACCCAAACTGTCCAAGGCAACCTGAAGTCCAGCGTGTGGTCCCCACCAGCTCTCCAGCCCCATCTCCACACCCTGCTTCCAGCCACACTGGCCTTCAGACTTCTCCCTCTGCCTGATATGCCACCATGTGCCTAACTTCCACTTTTACCTTAGATCCTTTATGTGGCTCTTATTGTAAAAAAAGCCTTCCATGCCTCTGCTCTCCATACTTTCCCCAGCATAAAAAATCCCTTCATTTAAAAAAAAAAGAAAAAAAATCCCTTCATTAAATCTCAACCAGAAGCTCTTAGTCAGGATCCTTTAGTTCAACTCTATAGCACCCACCACTGTTACAATTTCACGTTTGTGTGGTAACTTACTTTGATGTCTTTCCCTAGGCTCTAAGACCAACCCTGTTCCATTACTGTTTCCCTGAACCTGGCCAGGGAAGGACAGAGGAGGTGCTCGGTGGTTTTTTTAATGAATATACTACAATGTACAAACATACACTTGGCTGAACCCATACGCTTACTGCCACCTCATTTCATGGTTATCTCCTAGTCTCCCCAAATGTGCTTACAACAGCAGTCTATGCTATGAAGGATGGCTTTATCAAGGCCCAGGGCTTTCCCTTCAAACAGCGAGATGGCAGTCTTCCTGGACATCAGTGCAGTGAGAGCCTCCTCAGAGTCGTTGCCGGCCATCAGGCAGTCTCCCTGGGAGGACCCCAAATCCACCTCCTGCGAATGGATTCTTTCTGGAATATCGGAAGACTGGCCACGAAGATCTCCTTCAAACCCAATGGGTTTGGATGCAGACTTTCGGTCAGCAGTGGCTTTTGCAGACTATAAATCAATCAAAAGGGCAATCATATCAATGGTGTTACTACAAGAGAACACTGCTGTCTATCTAGATGAAAACCCTCCTGGCGCGTTGCTATGTATCACTAGGAACCAAAAGCCACCAAAGCACACACACAATTTCCTAAAACACACCTCCTGATGAACTAGGAGAGGCAACATGAAGAGGTTCTGGAAAAATCCGAAGCAGACTCTGACAAAACCTCACTACCACTCACTGGATTTAAAAACTGGTATGTCAGTGTAGACAGAGACTTTCTTCCCTAAAAAGTGAGTATTCAAGCGAGCTGGGGATTTAGCTCAGCAGCAAAAGCGCCTGCCTGTCAAGCGCAAGGTCGTGAGTTCGGTTCCTGGTACCGGAGAAAAACCAAAAAAAAAAAAAAAGTGAGTATTCAAGTAAAACATTTCAATGGGACTCATGGGCAACTGGCTATTATGTAATCCTCACTTTCAGATCTACCTACTACCCCATGCTTGCCTCTGGGGCAGGAACGAAGGCTAGTTTCTAGCCCTTATCTACGTTCCACCTTACGCTGCTGATGTTTCACTACCAAATAAAAGCTTTAATTCATGCTCTTATACTAGCTATCCTGTTACACGACCTAGCTTTGGGAAAAAAAAATTCAGCTTTTTGCCTGTCACATACTTTTCACATTGTGATTACAGAGTAAGTAGTATTGTACTGAAAATACTATTGGATAAATATGCATAAGCAGACAGTATAAACAAATAATATATGAAAAAGAAGTCCATTCAGAGAGCTTACTTTCAATTGCGTGGACTGGCATTCAGAAAACTAAACTAATGCCAACTGAATGAAGAAATCTGCCATCCAGTTTTAAATTCAGACTCATTTTATCTATTATTCTAAAAATGGATCAGTAAGCCAGCTGTGGCAGTGCACTCCTGTAATTTCAGTACTCAGGAGGCTGAGGCAGGAAGGATTATTTTAAGTTTGAGGTCAGCCTGTGTAACATAGTGAGTTCAAGGTCAGCCTGAACTGTAAAGCAAGACCCTGTCTCAAAAACCCAAAATTAATAAACAAAAACAAGAACAGAGCCAGGTGTGGTGCACATGTCTATAATCCCAGCACTCTGAGAGGCTGAGGCAAGAGGGGAAGATAGAAAGTTTTGAGCCCAGCTTGGCAACTTAGCAAGACCCTGTGTCAAAAACATTTTTTTAACAAGGGTTGGGGATGTAGTTCTAAGGTCCTGGGTTCATTCCCAGTAGCACAAAAATAAATGAACAAGCAAACATAAACACAGTATCAGGATTAGCCTGTTGGAAGACTGTAGTGGTAGCAATGATCTATTAATTCTGGGCAAGGTTCTCCTTCAGGGACAGAACTCTCCTCTCCCATTGGAAGTACTGCAGACCTGTTCTTGCTTGCTTTGCGTAGCCAGTAGGTAATGTTCATCATGAGGATCCTCAGGATCACCCTGGGATCTGTGCTGCAAAGTTGTCATTTTCTGTCCAACAATTCCAAAAGTAGCTGGATAAAATAAAGCCATTGGAGCCTACACATGGAAGGAAAGAGTCATCAGGAAAAGATATGCCTCCAGAAACAAAAGCATCAACTAAATTTTGTTCTTCCAATAACATGGGCAGATCCAATCCTCCAAGTGAGACGGGGCAGCAAGCCCTTTCAAAAGTGGGATTACATCTTCGGTGCATGACAGGTCAGAAAACTCACATCCAACTGAATAGGTGATATGACACTAGGTGAGAGACACTCAAAGTCGTTTTTACATAAATAAGTGCCTCATGATCTACTCCACAATCATCTAATAAAAATGGTGCCTCTTTCTCTAACAACACATTACATGCTGACTAACTCAAAAGATGGTCCTTAGATCTGTTCTAATCCGTACTCGACCACTGGTTCAATGTTCATTTAGGGGATAACCTACAGCCAACATCCTGACCTCACCACATTCTCAGCAAGTACATACTGTGTGAGTCTGACTGAATCTGCCGACTTTGCTTCCTTGTACCCATGGAAATATACCCCTGTGTAGTTACCTGGAGTTTTTCATCTCCTAATCGAAACTGGTAAAGCAAGGCAGGAGAATCTGGATGTCGAATCTGAAACTCATGGTCCTGAAGCCCAGAGATGTCCTGATTCCAGGAAAAGATGCTGTCAGTACACCAGTAAAATGGTCACAACTACAGACTATACTCATAAGTTAAATAAATCAGACTGCATGTGCAAGCACCGCATTCTCACTCTTCCTTTTATTTTTAAAATTAAAAAAAAAAAAAAATGCGTGTAAACTCTCTCAACTTGTGCAGATGCCGCTCCATCATCTGAACCTCACGCATGAAAAGGCCACCCTGCAACTCTGTGCCACACTCACTGTAACTTAGCATGGCAAGCTCAGCTGCACCTTGCTTCCTTATCTAACATTTCTAAAAGTTCAAGCAGTGGCATTTTCACTTTATTATTGATATACTTTCATACAAGTGACCACAATCAATAAGCAAATTCTTTCAATAACTGCAAAATGTACACTTCTTATATTTCTCAAATTTTAGTATTCAGAATTATAGTACCCGAAAAAGTTTAAAAAGTCTAAAAGAGAAAAATTTAAGGTAGGAACCCATACATATATATAGCAATGACTAGTAACTACTCACAATATTAAGAAAGTGCTTCAAACTATAACAATTTTCTGTTCCTGTGTACTTACCTGTTATTTTTGCTAAACTTACTAAAGTTTTACCTTCACCCTTTATGACAGAATCACTCCTACAAAAGGAAATTTGCTGAACTCTTTCCTATTAACGTAAGTTCTTTTTTTGAGCCTCAGGCGCATCCTTACCACCCTGATTACGCTGAAAAACTCTCACTCCTTAAGAGCTTCAGCTTCAGGGCTTTATTAACTTGCGTTAAAAGAGTAGCATGATATTGTTAAAATCTTAATTATATTCTCCCCCAAAGCAAAAGTCATCAGCAATACTGACTCTGCTCCCACCTGATCTAAATGACAGAATGTTTCTTTGAGGTGCTGGAGTAGCAGGCAGTCCATTTTATTTGTTAGCTGGCATTCTCTATAAGGGAACCCAGCTCGCTGCATGAGCCAGTAAAAACATCTTGACACATCGGAGCCCCCATAGGCCAGACAGAGCCTACGGTGGAGAGAAAAGAGCAGATGGTTAATTTGTCAGTCAGGATGCTACAAAGAGTGTTTCAATAACCCTGTAAGGTACAATGAAAACTGCCAAGTTTTGATAAATGTTTCTTAAGAACTGAATGAAAAAAACCGAGTGTGATGGCACACACTTGCAATCCCAGCATGCTGCAAGGTTCAGGCAGAACGATCACAAGTTCAAACCTAACCCCGGGCAACTTAGCAATTTAGTGAGACCCTGTCTCAAAATAAACAATAAGAAAAGGGCTGGGGACATAGCTCAGTATGAAGGTCCTAGGTTCAATCCCCAGAGCCACCCCCAGGTCCAAAAAAAATTGAAGCCAAGCACAGAATGGATAGATGGAAAGGAGAAAGGGAACTTTAGCCAAAACTAGTAATGGGGCAACAAGAAGAAGTCATACTATTTGCAAAAAATATTACAGATTAAAGATAAACAATACACACTATTAAACCCAGCTCACTTTCAAGTCAATGTATATTCACCACATGACAGCTGTTTGGGTCTCTGCATTCACAAGCTTTTAAGGGTAGCAAGTATGGATACTGTAAGACAAACTTATGATGGAAAGGCTCATAGAAAACTGTACACTAACAAGGTTTCTATAATTTGGGAAGACCCTTGCACACTGGTAGGACACTGGGGTGGGTCCAGCATTCTCTCTATCCTTTGAGAATCAATGGCATTAGATAATACAAACAAGGGGTGAGCCACGAAACACACACTGGGTTTTAGAATGTGTCGTAAATTGGGGTGCGATGCAGGAGGCTAACCTCATGAACTGCTGGGCCCTCTTTCAAATCTGTTCAGTATCCTGAGACTCTACCTAATGTGAGGGACAGAAAAAGCCATCTTGAGACCACCACAAAATGCTGCAGAGAACCCGGACATGCACTACCTAAGTGGATTTCCATGTCAGGTTGTCACGAGAAGGACATGTAGCAAACCTGCTCCTGTCAGTAATTTTATTAACTTTTGTATCAGTGAGAAGACAATCCCCATGAAGTTATTCATCACTCACGAACACAATCATGACAAGAAAAGCAGATGCTCAAAATGCTAGCTACCTAGAGCATTTACAGCTGAGAAATCTATTTTCTTCTACATGACTTGGGTGATTAAAAAACCTTTCTGTGAGTGTGTAATTAGTTGCTGTAAGGTACACCACAACCAAGACATGGACCTACCATTTATGCTTCCTTTGTGGGAAAGCACACAACACATACCAGGACTTTCAGGAGGTAGTGATGTGAGTTCACATTACAAAGTTCCAATAAAGGCAAAATGATTTGTTTTTAGCGTTGCTAGAATCTGCACTTCCACAGTTTGCTGGTCTGGTATATACAGACTTTTGAACATGTAATTTCTCTTAAATAATTTCTAAACTGCGATGAACTGAACAGACTCCGAGTGGATAGGGCGTAGGGAATGCACCTCCCAAGCTCCTCACCGAGTGTTCCGATGAGACACCCCGTCCTCCACGCAGCATACACTTGTCTTCTGGTCCCCCACATCTACAATACACGTGCTGCTTAAACCACTTCCAAAGGTAGCGCACACGGACTCCTGATGAACCACAATCCCTAAAAAACAAAAGGCAGAGGAACAATCAGTTATGGAGCAATAATGACTGTAAAGTAATCAACTAAAGTCAGGCCCCTATAAACCTCTGGACAAGTGGCTAAGAAGCACTGATCCTTTTGGAATAAGTATTTAAACAAACTGGTGAATTAGGTTAACTCTGACATTGAAAAGCAAACAATTTTATTTAAAGTAGGTCTTCCTGCAGGGCGGGTGGTGTAGTGCAGTGGTACAGCAGTTGTCCAGCACATGCAGAAAGTCCTGGGTTTGATGTCCAGCAGCACAAAACAATTAAAAAAAATTTTTTTTCAAATGTTTCATTCAAGTATCAGACATACCTGAAAAACCCATCTTCATTAGTATCATATTCACTAGTTCTTTCACATGCTGTTTGTTATAGATATCAGGAATTAATAAGATACACCTATAATACTAAAAAGAACAAAGAAAAGAATGTAAAAAGGTTAACATTCAAGTCCAAGGTTAGCATTCAAGTCCAGTCAAATCCAATCCTACCATGCCTGTGTGGAAGGAGGTGTCTCTCCATAGGAACAGAAGCTACAGGGAAAGGCCCAGAGTAATGCTCAGACCTCTGCGCCACCCTTTGAGTTTCATGAAGAAACAGAAAATTCTAGCTCTCCTCCTCCCCTCACCTGGAATCACCTCAAATTCATAAAATGATAAACAAGCTAAGTAAGATGTCTGAAAAGGTACAGAGAAAATGCAAAGGCATAAGCAACCTTGCTGATTTTGGAGCAATAGTGAAAGACACCAAAGAAACAGAACAAGACAGAAACCACTAAAGAATTAAGTGGAAAAAGAAAAGATATCCTCAACACCTGAGAATGCTAAGAATGCCTCAATAAGGACATTATCGAATCTTTATGACAGTCCAAATAACTGAGCAAACATTTTAGCTCACCTTTAAATCTTTCAGTGGGATTTCCAAGTATTTTTGTATTGCATGAGACCATATTACTTCAATATCTGCCAGAACAGCTGTAAGGGAGCCCCCAGGTCCAGGGTGAATATTTAACTGACCTCTTCTGATGGGCCAGTGAATATTGTAACAGTCCAATGGATTAACATATAAGGCCTTGAAAAGGAAGGGAAGAAGAGAAAGGCACTGTTTAAACTCTTCTTAGGCAGGAAGATCACAAATTGGAGCCCAGCCTAGGGGACTTACAAGACCCTCTGCCAAAATAAAAAAGAAGCCAGGTGTAGTGGCATACGCCTATAATCCCAGCACTTGGGAAGCTGAGACAGGTGGACCACAAGTTTGAGCTCTGCCTGGGCAACTCCATAACTTAACAAAACCCTCTCTCTCTTAAAAAAGGGCTGGGGATGTAGCTCATTGTGAAAGCCCTGGGTTCAATTCTTAGTAACTCCAAAAAGAAAACAAAAAATCCAACTCTTTCAGGATTTTCTGTACTCACATCCTAAAAATTTTTTTTTTTTTTTAAATTTTTTTTTTTATTTTAAGGATAAAAGGAGGGAAACATTAACAGACATACAGCATTTTACAACATATCACAAGCACAATACAGACAATACAGAGTTCCAAACAAAGTGGTAGGGAATTAACAATGGTGGTTGTATTACATATTGATATCTTCAAAGTGGCTTCTCATGAAAACAGATATAGACATGCAATACTGGTCAACCAAAGACTCATTGACAGTTTCTTTCAGCATAGAAACAGCAGATAGAAGAACAACCATGTTATCTATCCTGTATATACATACATACAAAATTTCTCCTTCTTTCCCTTCTCTTTTCCCACATCCCAGAAGCCCTTTACTCTTCGGTGGTTTCCTATCATTTCACAGTGTCTATCATACCTCCGAGTTTAACTTAACTCTTTCAAGTTTTACACTAGTGACACAATGCGGTGCTTGCACATGTATGTTTGATTTATTTCACTTATGAGTATGGTCTCTAGTTGTGACCATTTAAATATAAAGGCCTCGAGTTTATCTTTCTTTACAGCTGAGTAATATTCCATTATATAAAAGTACCATAATTTTCTTATCCAATCCTCGGTGGATGGACATTTGGGTTGCTTCCACATTTTAGCAATTACAAATTGTGCTGCTATGAACATAGGTGCACATATATCACTGTGATATGTCACATCCTAAAAATTTAAGACCAGTAATTAGTATTTTCTCAATGTTCTAGATGTTGAGAGGAGCATTCAGCAATCCAGGGAATAGTGTAAATGAATGCTGGGCCTCAAAGCAGGACTGCAGAATGCTAGGAAACAACCAGAACTGGGGAGCAAAGTGAAATTTAGAAGTAATATCAGGTTTCCCTCTTCCAGTTCATTATAACCAAGTTTCTTACCTCTTCTCCTACCAAATACTCAGGATGATGAGATGTGTTTGTCCACTTATTTCCAGAACAGTGATCTAAAATTGCAGGTCGCATCTGTTTGTTGTAGGAGCGTGCCTGAAAGGAGAAGGCCCTTCACATTCAAGGGGAGGGGCAGTGTGAGTGTCCCCTCTGCTCCTCTCACTCACACCACATGCAGTGGCAAACTTTTTAATCACAAATCTGAGACATCTATAAAATACAGACTGGTCACAAAAGGATTCTCTTGTCTTTTTCCACAATCTCAATCTTTCCTATGATTTTAACACCTAAGCTGTTAAAATTAAATTAAATTAAAACTATAATTCTGCTTAAAGTTAATTCAAATCTATATATTATCTGTCTATTTAAGTTCATCATATTAAACTAAACAGCTTCCCACCGAGGTCATGAGAATCAGGATACAGTCTCGGGGTAACATAAATTTTCATCAACTTCTCTTGAGGAACCCAGCTCTATACACTCTCTGGCTTGCCTAAGTACTTGTAACATTGATTCAGGTATCCTATAAACAGTTATAAAGGGCCTTTTTAAAAAAAAAAGAAATCCCATCTTGTATTTGCGTAATGATATAGTAGAGAAAACATGTACACGGTATTATAGTCAATTGTGAGATAATGACATTTTGGTCAATGACTAACTGTTTGTACAACAGTGGTCTCCTAAGATTATGATGGAGCTGAAAAATACTCATCACGTACCAACACGACATAGCACAATGCATTACTCATTTCTTCGCAGTGTTCCTGATACAAACCAACCTTCTGAGCTGACTGTCATAAACAGATATTGTACATACAATTATGTATAATACATAATACTTCATACCAACAATAAACAACTGTGTTACTGGTTTACATATAAGCTTTTTAATCATTATTTTAGAGGGTATTCCTTCTACATATTTTTAAGAAGTTAATTTGTTAAACACACTGAGCAGAGTCTTCTAAGAAGTATTCTAGAAGAGTACTGTTACTATAGGAAATTACAGCTCCACGCAGGTTGTTGCCACAAAGATCTTCTAGTGGGATAAGATGTGCAGATGAAAAACACTAGCCATACTGATGACCCGGACTCTGGGCAGACTTAGCTAACCTTGTGTTTCAGTTTTTACAAAAAAGTTCAAAAGTGGGGGAAAATGCTAAATGTTATTTCAAAACAGTAAAACGTATAAAAAATTACAAAGTTTATAAAGTAAAATACTTTCAGTAAATGTAGGTTAACTTATGTTAGAGAAAGAAAAAACTTAAGTTTAATGCATCCTAAGTGTAAAGTCTATAGCAGGGGACAGTAATGTCCTCGGCCTTGCCATTTACTTACCACTGACCCACCACGGGCAACTCCTAGTTATGCGAACTCCACTCATGTTAAGTGCTCTATAGACATGTGCCATTCTTTTTCTTTTATATTGTTTTTTTTCCTGTACTTTTTAATGTTTACATACATTATTACTATTGTGGTACAACTGCTTACAGTACAGTAATATACTCTGTAAGTTTGTAGCCTACGAGCTTTATGCTATAAACATGTAGTCTTGGTGTACAGAAGGCCACACCACCTAGATGTTTGCACAACCACCCAACGATGTACTCACCCGTGGCCCCATCATTAAGCAACACATGACTGCATGATGTGAAGGGTGGAAACAGAATAAGAAAAAGTTAAGTGAAGAAAAAGTTAACCGAACCTGTTCTGGAGACACAGGAATCCGTCTTGTACCATTTGACATCTTTTTAGACCATATTGCTTGATCCACCATTTTAAGGCCATTTTGCCTTTGTTCGTTACTCTCAGGTTTCTAGGGAGGAGGATAAAAGATAAGGAATGTAAAGGATTTAGTGAAATAAAAAGTAATGTGGCATGCTATCAATTTAATCCATCATTAGAAAATGTTCACTCATCACACAGCACTCCTTACTCTTTGTCAAATATAGTAATCCCAAGAATTTCAGAATTTCAAGTGGGGCTAGGCATACAGCTCAGTAATAGAGCATTTGCCTCTGTGAAGCCCTGAGCTCAATCCCGCTACTGCAAACTTCCTACTCCACAAGAAGACAAAAACCAGAAAACAAAGTAATCCTCTGTTATGAACTAAAAAGATGGAATTCTGACTAAACCCAACTATTTGCAAAAATCTACAATTGCAAGTGACTTGAAAAGTACGTCAGAGACTTCTACGCATTTTTAACAATGTCATATTTCTTCATACAAAAAATGTAGTGAATTTTTAAAATTAAAAAACTGTATCGCAGTAGGACATATTGCCATTTGTGCGTCTCACAATACTTTCCCTTGCTTTGAACAAATCTATCCCATCGTTCTAGCCATTTTCTGAAGCAGCTCTGAAGTCTTTTGTGAGTTTTTGTACAAGGTGTGATCAAAAATACAGTGAAAGTTGCTGCTAAGTGCCACTGAACAGAAAGGCAAGCTCATAAGACATCAGGCATGTCTTTATCTGTCTTATTTACCACATATGGCACTGTGCACCTTCTGGGTCTTTCCCAAAGTCAAAATGATCATGAATCAAGATAAAACATTTGGTATTGATAATCTCCTACCTCTTTTGTCTGTAACTATTGTTTGTCTATTTGTTTTCCTGAGAAACTATCTTGTAGATAACAATATGTAAAACAATAACCACTGATAATTTCCTACCACTTTGTCTGTAATTTGGTAAACACCCCCCTATTATTATGTTATCCTTCTTTTACTCTTTAAAATTAAAAAAAAAAAAAAAAGATAAAACATTTGGAAAAAAAAAAGTAAACATTTTTGAATCACTTTAGTACGTCAAGGTAGCTACAGCAGTGCAACTAATGACTTGAAAATGAATTTCCAGAACTGCTTCAGAAAGTGACAAGAATGATGAAATAAGTGTTTGAAGCTTAGGGGAAGTGTTCTTTGAAGCTTAGCGAGGGAGATTAAAGGCAATGTATCTTTTACTATAATTGATTGAACATTCACTGTATTTTTCATCATACTGCATATATTTTAATTAACAAACACAAGTTACTGTGATACTGTAGACACATATTAGAATGTATTCAAGCTTACAATTGGACTTCAGAAGAGTCTGCTAATGACAGAATCCTAAAACTTATCACAGTTATAAAAAGTTTTGGGGATATGAGATAGGATCTTGCTATGTAGTTTAGGCAGGCCTTGAACTCACTATGCAGCTCAGGCTGGACTTCGTGGCAATCCTCTTGACTCAGCCTCCTGAGTACTGGGATTATAGGCGTGTACCACCATGCCCAGCAATAAACTATCCTTGACTTAAAATTCTGCAATGCCACATACAGATTAACACCTATCACATGTAAAATTAAGATGAGTGAATATTTATTGAAAAGAAACTTTTTTGGGGCTTAAAATTATGGTTTGATCTAGGATTTTAGTATATGCTTATTGTAGCAATTCAATGTGCTAATGAACTGCAAATATGAGTTTGACTTAAACTACATATATTTGGAAGAAAATCCAGCTGTTACTAAAGACCTGAGTGTATCATTTTAAGTGAAAGACAATTCTGTATCTTTCATCAAAGACCACCTTTGTCAACACCAATATTAATCCTGATGGGTTAAAAAAAATGGGATTTACTTTTGTTGTAATTGTTTAAAATCTAAAACAGCTACCTTAGATAACAAATGATTATTTATTGAATGATGTTATTATTTTAAAATGTTTTTTCTGTTTTTTGTTTTTGTTTTTTTTTCTGGTACCGGGAATTGAACTCACGACCTTGTGCGTGCCAGGCAGGCACTGTGCCCAGCTAAATCCCCAGCCCTCTATTATTTTAAAATGTAGTAAAGCTGTGAAGATGTTGATTCCTAGGTACACCAGAGTGTCCAAGCCTTCCCAAGGATACAACTTTGGTCTTTGTCTTCACTACCTCCATTTCTGACTTACATTTAGTCCGTCCCTTAGGAGCCAGTTGTCCTTGTACAGAGGTTGCCCTTGTTGTTTGTGTCTTCGGGCAATGACATGAGGAATGCTGGCAGGGAGTGTGTCTGTGGCTCGACCAATCCTTAAAGTTGTTGAGCCTGGATGTATGACAACAATAAAGTTGCTCTGGATTTGCTGTAAATACAAAACATAGCAGTATGACCTTAATAAATAATATACATGTAACAAGTTAAGTAACACACTGGTAACAAGTTAAACTAAATTTCCTATAAAGACCACTGGACTCAAAAGTATCGAAGTAAACTGAGAACACTGCTTTAGCAGATAAGGCAGTGATGGCAAACCTTTTAGAACTTTCAATGGTAACAGTGGGCTGGCCCACACGTGCCATAGGTTCACCACCACTGGGTTAAAGGTTCAGGGTCTGGATTCAGAGATTTGTTTACAAATTAGAATGTCGCTTTCTTGCTCTGGATATTCTCTATCTCAGAGTACCTATATGGGCTTCAAGTCCAGCCACAGGGAATGCTAGGTCTTAACACTGAAGCCTTCCAAAATACCACTTTTAGAAGAGGTCTGACTCTAGCTTATATGGGCCATACTAAGACTTCCTGTTTGTCTTTCCTTAGACTAGATACCCTGACTTGTTGTCTGTGCCTCTATAATCTCCCCCCTCCAGGATTGCTAACCCTCTCTGTAACTCCTAATTGTCTTCAGATCTCAGTCCAAATGTCACCTTTGGAGAAATCATCCCTCTCAGGGCTGAAAAGCAGTACATCCCGTGTGTGCCCAACACTGTATCTCCCCAGGGTCCTCTGCACTAATCCATTCCACACCAGGCTTTGCTATTTTTGCCCCACCCCCAAATACAGTTCTTCCACAGAACCCTATCAGAATGGGAGAATCTTAAGAGCAGACCTGGCCAGGCCCCTACCCCAGCCTGCTCACCCACCCCGCGCCAGGCACTGCGCCCCGCACATCGCAGCTGCCTTACAAGGTATTACGTCTTCATGTCTCCTTCATTCTTCTGGGAATTGTGCATTGCCTTTCCCCATTTTCCCATGGGAAGGTTGGTGTTTGATCAGTGTTTGGGTATAAAGGTCTTTCTCCGCTGCGATACTGGAAATAGTTTTTTTTTTTTTTTTTTTTCTGATTAGTCTGATTTAATTTTGTTCTGTTTTTGAAGTACATTTTCACGTCTATTTAGCCAGTTTCCCTTTCGTTGCTTTTAAATTTGAAATGACTTTCACTATCCGAGATTTGCTAACGAAGTGAACTGCAGGGGAACCGCCGGCAAGCCCCGGAGCACAGGCCGGAAAGGCGGCGCGGAGCCACGCGGGTGCGG